AACAGGGGGAACGGATATAAACAGAGAGAACGGATATAAGCAAGGATAAGGGATATAAACAGGGAGAACGGATATAAACAGGGAGAACAGATTTAAACAGGGAGAGCAGATATAAACAGGGAGAACGGATATAAACAGGGAGAACGGATATAAACAGGGAGAACGGATATAAACAGGGATAACGGATTTAAACAGGGCGAACTTAAAACATGGTCTGTTTCTCTTCAGGATTCGGGAAATCTTAAATGGTTTAACCCAAGGGTTGATATCTGACAATTTGTATCTGTTTACATAGTTTAATAAATCAAAGTAACTATATGGTTTTACATCTATTAACAAAGTCTACTGAATATTTGCATTTCTTCTTGTTATTTCAAATCTCTAGATGCTGTCAGCTTGTTTGTTTGTTTGTTGTTTAACGCCGCACTCGGCAATCTCCCACCTATATGACGGCGGTCTGTCAATAATCTTGTAGGAACCAGACAATCCAATGATTGACATCATAATCATCGATCTAAGCAGATGACGTGATCCAGTTGTCAAAACGTAACCGAGAAAACCCCCTTGTGAAATTAATATGAATATGGTGAATAAATTATGAATGATCTGAGAAACATCAAGCAATTATTTTTCATTGTCTTTAATTGAGCTTTTATTATCTTAACAACTCTTGACATTGCCTCTGAAATGTAAGCATACTATTTAATAATAACGTTAATATGTTATATATGAATATATGTTCTTTTGAAACTGGTGGCTTTTTCAATTACTTAAAAATATTTATTACCTCTTAGTACATATTAAAATGGATATAAACTGAATTATTTTTGGAGAGCCAATATATTTGAAACTCACCCATCTGTATTAACAACCACAATTCATTCATCACAACTCTAGTATTCATGTGATTCGCAATGTCCAAATGACGATGTGTAGGTTTCACGATTTCGATGGGGGGCGGGTCTTTTTTGTAGAAAAGGGGCGTGTCGTAGCGAATGCAAACTGGCTTGCTGTTTTTTCATCGGTAAATGTAGATATAGAAGACTTTACTAGTTCCTTTCTGTTTGTTTATATTTCTGTATACATGACAGCAATGGTAAATAATATGTAAACAAATTACACCAAGAATCTCAACTAATAAATATAACCCTAACATACTAACAAGTACGCAAGAATGTTGATACCTGAGTGGATTATTCTTCCCCGCCCCGAATGAGGTGAAGTACACGTGTTTAATTTTAACTGAAGGAGAGCGCCATTTTGGTTTCTCTAAAATAATTGGAGGTTTCAAATTGAAATGAGAGTGACTTAATCTGGACATGTCTGAACCAATCGCCTGTCACATTCTGTGACTTAGTCATGTTTTGTAATGTAGATAATCCATGCAATCTGTTCATTTTGATTTTCAAAGAGCTAAAAATGTTTAGGGCAAATATATCTCCTTTCGCTAAAGTTAACCGGTCTATATTTTTTAGAGGTTATCTCCTTTTCTCAAGGCGTAGTATAGAGCGTTATCACGCACTGACCTTGCAATGCTGCACATCGTATCTTATTCAAGCTGTATCACGAGTTATTATCTCCCTTGCTCTTTTGCACACTACCTTTGCAATGTATGTTATTCAGGCAGCCACCGAGAAAGGTCACAGGATTAATGCAGGTCAAGCATGTAACGCGCACCACGCTGCTATTGCAACTTATTGTTCAACACGATTAAATACCCCTTTTAAATGACTTTGTTCAATAAACAAAACATTACAACAACGAGTTTGATATGAGAAATTTGTAATTAGTTGTCTTCATAATCACATGTATGGTGCTTGCTGTGTGCATAGTTGAGAACAGTATTATTTCAAGTAGTTCACTGTATGTAATGGGATTCCTTCCGTTTAATGCGACGGTTTACGGTTCTGCATGGTTTATTGTTTTGACAGTTTTGAGAACTATGGTTATGTTGTACATACAAGGAATTCTGGATAACTGTTGGTAATAATTATGAAGAATTGTTCCTTTTAACAGAGTGTACCAAATTCTTATCATGATTGAGGATTATTTGTGATTCTCTTTCTTGGTTGTATTTTATACAAGACAGCGCATAATGTTGCTCATCTTCTAAGACATCACATGTTTTACAGAGACGTTGTTCCAATGGGGTTAGTGTTTTTGAATATCTACCAGTTTCAATTTTTAGTTTGTGATTACTTGAACGATGTGACCCATGAACATGGTTTTTGCAATATGTAAGATAATTCTCAATATTTATAGATGAATTGACTAACCTGTATGTTCTAAACTTGCAGTTGGAGAAATGGGAATCCTTCAATGAATGCGCGAACATATTTATACATTTGGACTGAATTTTGTTTACAGTAGATTAATTACAATTGTTTCTGTTTACTACTTCAACAATTTGTTTTATTTAACCAAGCCAACATTTTGACCAGAAAGATTGATATTTGCTGCCAAAGCATGTTTAAGAATAGCTTTGTTGTGTTATCTATATAGGACTTGTAATCAGTTAAATTTTTATATTATTGTACGAATAGTGGGTATATACCAAGTTCTGCCTGACAGAACTCACAGAGGAACAAGGATGGGATTCTGGGCACCTATTCTTCTCATGCATCCTCACAGAGAAACAAGCATGGGATTCTAGGGGCCTATTTGGCTCATGCATCCTCACAGAGGAACAAGCATGGGATTCTGGGGGCCTATTTGGCTCATGCATCATCACAGAGGAACACGCATAGGATTCTAGGGGCCTATTTGGCTCATGCAACCTCACAGAGGAACAAGCATGGGATTCTGGGCGCCTATTTGGCTCATGCATCATCACAGAGGAACAAGCATAGGATTCTAGGGGCCTATTTGGCTCATGCAACCTCACAGAGAAACAAGCATGGGATTCTGGGCTCCTATTTGGCTCATGCATCATCACAGAGGAACAAGCATAGGATTCTAGGGGCCTATTTGGCTCATGCAACCTCACAGAGGAACAAGCATGGGATTCTAGGCGCCTATTTGGCTCATGCATCATCACAGAGGAACAAGCATAGGAATCTGGGGGCCTATTTGGCTCATGCAACCTCACAGAGGAACACGCATGGGATTCTAGGGGCCTATTTGGCTCATGCATCATCACAGAGGAACAAGCATAGGATTCTGGGCACCTATTCTTCTCATGCATCCTCACAGAGGAACAAGCATGGGATTCTGGGGGCCTCTTGAACTCATGCATCCTCACAGAGGAACAAGCATGGGATTCTGGGGGCCTATATGGCTCATGCATCCTCACAGAGGAACAAGCATGGGATTCTGGGGGCCTATTTGGCTCATGCATCCTCACAGAGGAACAAGCATGGGATTCTGGGGGCCTATAAAGCTCATGCATCCTCACAGAGGAACAAGCATGGGATTCTGGGGGCCTTTTTTGGGTCAGGGATCTCTACAGAGAAACAAGCATGGGATTCTGGGGGCCTATTCTGCCCACAGAGAAACAGGGTTGCTGAAGACCTATACTAACCCGGATCTTTCCTAATCTGACCTTGTTGTAGAGATACGACTGCAATCGGCTGTAGATACCATGGAAGTAAGTCACAGTACTGTTGATCAAAACACAGTCCAGATTTCGCGGAGCAACAACAACACGCCATGTAAGGGAATTCTTCTTTCAGTCTGGCACGATCTTGTGTAATGCTTGTTTTATATACGACTGTGATGTTGTTTAATTTCAGGATAAAGCTATGACCATTAGAACTGCTTACTGAGTGGTGATATCAACTTAAATTTGACGTCGCATATCGGCTTTGAAAGACAGCAATATTAGAGCTGTTCTGACAATCTGTCCCGAAAGACGGACATATTATTGGCCTCTGTAAATGCTACGGAAATTTCACTCTCGACGGGAAATTGTGTTTTGGGATATCGTTTTAGAGTCTTTTATTATTTTTTTTAGAAAATGTTAAAAAAGAAGAATTTGGCCTCAAGTTTTGCACACACAAATAGATTGTCCATATCTCAGTACATCAAGAAGCCTTGTGCAAAATTTAGATGCAGCAACGTTTAGTTAAATGTGGAGGATTGGAGTTCATCCGTCATTTGGAAGATTCCTCATTATGAAATACTCGGATGCTGTGTTTTGGAAATACTCTGCGGATGTTGTATTGAGAAAAAAAACAAGACGTATGTACAGGATGAATACCATGTGGTGGCGATATGTAAAACATTGTGCTCTTTTCAGGAACTATTAGTAACAGCAATTATACACTGACAACGTGTTGCAGCTGATGAAATCTACCGAATGACACGAGCTTCACATTACTCCTAGCTGAAGCGTATATGTTACAGTCAATGTGTAAAATGACAATTGACAAAACGCAATTATTTCTCCGTCAGATTTACAAAATGTAATTAAGAATTCAAAAGGGCTGGAAAAATCACAATAGGCTAATAATGCTAAGGTTTGAAGCCAAAGATGAAAAAAATATATACATTGACTCAAAAGTTTCGTTTTCATTTAATCCTATCGTTTTCAGTCACTGGGTGATTAAATAGTGCATAAAAATAGTGCATAAAAATGTTTGGAATTCGTTATGATAATCATAGAAATGGAGAAAAAAAATTAAATGACTGAAATATTTTGACGTTTTGTAAATTGCCTAGGTAATCATTTTACACATTGACTAACTTATAAACTAAGAAAGCCAATAGTCTGAAGGGGGCACGGGTGGCCCAGTAGTCTAAGGCGCCGCGATTCGCTGTGCAGAGTTGCGTCCCTTGGGCACGCCGGAAACCTATGATTGTGGGTTCGAATCCCGGATCGCCCCGATTATGTTTCTAGGTTTGTCAGCACCATACCCGTGATCGTGGGTTTTACCGAAGTGATAAACGTCAGAGACCTGCATCACTTCGAGCTTTCCTCCCACATTAAGCTGAACCGCTGTCATATAACTGGAATACTGTTAAAAGCGGCGTTAAACCCAACTCACTCAATAGTCTTAAACTTCTAACGTCACATAAACAGTATTATGCAGATTGATATGCCCTATATATAATAATATCTATTTGGCCTTTCTACTGAATAAATATAAATATGTGTCTTTATGTCTATATGAATATTGGAGATTTGACCAAACGCTTGTGAAATGGGCCTTATCAGCGACATAGTTCTTTATCTATTGCACCACGGGAACACCATTCTTGAGATTCTTTTCACACCTGATACATCCGCTATAGTTTTAACCTTTTGAAATAGATACGTTTATGTTTAACTCTAACGACCCTGTTCAGATGCATACAATTATCCGCATATGAATGTTTACACAGGTATCTAACAATACACAGGTAAATAGTACATATGAACGCAATCACACATATGAGTAAATATGCCAGGTGTGAAAACCTACTTCAAGTCAAGAGGTAGTGTAAATGTATATTTGCACATATTAATATCTCCCTCGTGTATATTTTAGTCAGGTGAACGCACAGCAAAATTACACGTGAGAAGTTGGAGTGTGTTGGGCTATTTTTAGAATGAGACGATTGCATCATGCCATTTTCATGTGTCTTTCAAATAAACTCTTGGAGCTCTCGACAAAGGTAATCAAATGTTTCTTTCTTCATTCGGAAGTCTTCTATCCATTGCTGCTCATCAAACGTTATCAACAACAACGTTGTACCATCAAACCTTACTATTATTTTGTCGATACATTTGCACTTCTCAAATGAGACCAAGATTGAGATTGCTGTACATGTATACAAGAAATATCTCTGTTTCTTTCCACGAAGAGCTACAAGTGATTCCATACTGATGATGTGAAAATGACAAAGGATTAAAATTAAATATTTACATACATGAGTAAATTCACACCTGTGGTAGAATTACGTACGTAGATATGATTGTGCATATGATCGGGGTCTTGTATGTTTTATTTGCAGGTTAAACTGTTTCATCAACGACATACTGGCTCGAAATGACACGGGATAGAAGTATGAACGATTTTCATAATCTGATAAAAACTGGAGACAAGTACCTGGTAGCAAAGCACATAGCGGTAAACACAATCAAAGCTGACAATTACTACAGGAGTGTTAAAAGCACCACCCGGAATCGCCTTATACGTGCTGTAGGCGTGGCAGCTTATGGGGGACATGTGGAGTTGGTGAGATACCTCATATCCGAGGGCTTTGACAGATACGAGCACAGTTTTCACGAAGGGTTCCCTGGCTGCAGTCCTCTTCATCTGGCATGCGAGATGGGACATCTGAACGTCGTTAAAGTACTTGTGGAGGAGCATGGTGTTGATGTGAACAGGGAGACACACTTTTCCCCTCTACATTGGACAGCAAGAAGTCGTATGTTTGGAACCGAGGCGCAGCTTCTGGTGAATGTCGCGAGGTATTTAGTAGAGGCAGGGGCACATGGTGACACCAGGGAAAAGAACGTCATATTCGGGGCCGCAGCTGACAGCAAATGTCCCGAAATCTTGGACTTCCTTGTTGCCAATAATCCGGAGGTGTACACCAATCCAGAGTACGACTACACACCCCTACATACAGCTGCACGTGGAGGATTCACGAGCACAGCACGTGCTTTACTTGAAGCAGGCGCAGACGTGAATCAGATCAGCCATGACCGTGAAACCCCGTTCATAGAAGGCATAGTCTCGGGTAAGACAGACATGTTGAAACTGTTAACATCCTATGGAGCAGACCCTGAGATAGCCGAGAGTTTTGGGAACACTCCTCTACATCAGGCAATTTGGTACCATCTCTACAACATCGTTCATTACTTACTAGTTGACCTGAACGTCGCCCTGCACAAAACTGACAGCTGTGGCCGAACTCCGTTTGCAGTTTTGATCAGGTTTGACGGCCCTAAAGATGAGGAAACGATCGTTCTTGCCGAGCTTCTTGTGGCATCCGGGCATAATCCCATTGAAGCTCTGTCGCCATGCATGGACGACGTCAGTGACGTCCCCTGGACCGATATGATTAATCGGTTCCAGACCATCGCGACTAACCCACGAACACTGAAGGACTTGAGTGTGATGAATATCAGAAGACGGCTCGGTAGGAAGATTTCGGGTGTAGAATCGTTTTCTCTTCCACAGATTGTGAAAGACGCCATCACACTGCGTAATAAAGACTGGACTGCCTTGTGTAGCTCTTGTACTGAGGTGGAATAAGGAGAAACAATTTCCTAGTATATTTCATGTAATATGTTTTAACCGGGCACTTAACGGATGCCTGATGTAGTAAGAAACTAAAGCAGTAATAAAGGAATCGGTGATAGCAGTTTACTTGGACTGTACCTTGAACTGTTGTATGTTTGTTGTTTAACGCCGCACTTGACAATATTCCAGCTATAATGACGGCAGCCCGTTAGTAATCGAGTCTAGACCAGACGATCCGGTGACTGACATTGTGAGCAACTATCCGGGGAACGACGTCACACATAATCAATCAAGTCACCGAGCCTGACCTGACCACCCGTTCCATTAACTTGCTCTAAAGACCAGCATAGGTTGCTCGGAAAAAATTCTAACCTGGAATGCCCACGGGTAAAAAATGCTATACAGCAAGAAACCCCATTGATCATTAACTTAAAGGCGAGTTCCTCTTCGCCAGACCGATCAAATCAGATCCCCAGCATTTCATACTGATCGTAATCTTGAGTGAGTGGGTGAGTGAGCGAGTGGGACTTTACGCCGCTTTTAGCAATATTCCATCAATATCAACCGGGAACACAAGAAATAGGCTTCACACATTGTACCAATGTGCGGCGTAAAAACAACATTCATTCAGTCTCCTGAAATTTCCCCTTTCTTATGTTGACACATGTTGATACTGTTTTAAAATGAACAGACATTCTGATATGCCACTTTCGTAACATGGGTTAGATGTCAGAGAACCTGGTGAGTAAATGGTGCCGGACAACTAACGGAAGGGGCATAACTCTAGAGAGCTTATGCCACATGAAGAGTCCTGAAACCGTTACTTTATTGAGGTTACACACAACCAAGTGTTTCCCGTCGACTTCTTTAGTAACGTAATATTTCTTAAAAAACCCATTAAACATCTATTACTTGTACGTGTGTGCGCAGTTTGGCCTTAGCGCAGCAATAAAAAAAAAAAAAAATTACTAGCTTGGCCAAGTACTTTTCCGAGTACAGGAGTACATAAGAATCTGGTGAGTGCATGGTGCTCCTTCCCAGCGCGTGACACCTTCGTTACACCGAAGGTGTCATACGCTGGGAGGGAAGGAGCTTGGACCAAACTCAAGCTCCTCACAGCGACAGCCCGTTCGCGGAGCTCTCTATAGTATCGCTGCCACCAGTCAAAACTCCCCACTGTGATAGGTAACCCCAACCATGCTTGGAGTTGAACTCGCAACCGAATGACCGTTGTTTACAAACAAGTGACGTCTTGACGCCGAATACACTTATCGCTGCAAAATTACTTTCTTCGTTTGTCAATTTGAATTTCTGTTACATTAAAGCTATCGTGTTATTGATATAGTAAGAATGTAAGGGAGAAGTTGGTTGATTTTCCGTTAGTCTGCAATCTCGAACCAATCTGATTATTAAAACAACAAAGTAAATTCATCTGGAAAACATGGTCAGTCGTAAACCTTTTCAAATTTCACTATGATGGCATTCCCAAAGATATAAACAAAAGTATGAACGTTACTACATTTGGGGTTAGAGGGCAAATTTCAAGATTCTTGTAATGGCCGCGCCCACACTGGTGGCAGCGATGTTAACGAGAGTGTGACGAAGGTGTCACGCGCTGGGAAGGAGCTTGGGACCAAACTCAAGCTCCACTCTCGGTAACATAGTATAGAGAGGTCCGCGAACGGGCTATCGCTGTGAGGAGCTTGGACCAAACTCACGAAAGGGACATAACTCTAGAGAGCATATCCCACACAAAGAGTCAGATCTCGAAACAGTTGATTTATTGATTGTTGCTTTGTTGTTTAACGCCGCTCTCAGCAATATTCCAGCTATACGACGGCGGTTACATAACGCGAATATTTGAGACGAGGACTTACTCAGTTGCCTTTTGAGAGCCCTGGTTAGAATAGGTCCCCAGCAACCTCTGCTGGTCGGTTAAAGGCGACCAAAGGGATCGCGTGGACAGGCTCAGAACATCGACGGAGGGGGTCGTTGTTCACAATGTCAATCACTCGATTGTCTGGGTACTGTTTTACAAAACCCGTGAAGATCCAGATAGAGAATAGGTCTTCAGTAACCCAATCTTGTCGTAAAAGGCGAAAATGCTTGTCGGAAGAGGCGACTGACGAGATCGGATGGTCAGGCTCATTGACTTGGTTGATGTCACTGTATCCCAATTGCCTGGATTGATGCTCATGATCTCAATCACTGGATTTTCTGGTCCAGACTCGATTATTATCCGACCACCATCATATAGGTGGAATATTGCTGAATGCAGTGTTCAACGACAAACAAACAAACAAAACAGCCTTATCGCTATGACTGTCGTAAGTGTATGTAAGATTATGATCATCTTAGGTATGAGTGAGTGCGGTTTTATGCTGTTTTTAGCAATATTCCAGCAATATCCGGTCAAAGACACCATTAATGAGCTTCACACATTGTACCGATGTGGGGAATTGAACCTGGGTCTTCGGGGCGACAGCGAACGTTTCAGTATAATACGTATTGTAAGTTACCATAGTAAACATGGTCCATGCACCCCAATCACCTTGTGAGAGTGAAGTCAGGATTTGAGCCCATGAACGCTTAATCCTTGCATGACTAAGGAACGACACAATTTCAGCGGTCGGGTAGCCTAGTGGTTAAAGCATTCACTCGTCAACTCGTAAACTCACTCACTCAGGGCAAGATTATTTTTTTACCAAAATTCCACGGTTCCAATGATCCATTTGGCGCATGCACCCTGACAGAGGAACAAGCATGGTGTTATGGAGAGCTGATTGGCCCTTGCATCACCACAAGGAGACAAGCATTTGGTTCTGGGGACCTGTTTTGGCCATGCACCCCCACAAAAACAAGCATGGGGTTCTGGGGACCTATTTTAGCCATGCATCCCTAAAGTGAAACAAGCATGGGATTCTGGGGACCTATTTGGCCCATGCATCCCCACAGAAACAAGCATGGGGGTTCTGGGGACCTATTTGGCTCATGCATTCCCACAGAGAAAAGCATGGGATTCTAGAGATGGGATTCTGGGAACCTATTTTGCCCATGCATCCCAAAAGAGAAACCAGCAGAATGTTCTGGGGACCTATTTGGCTCTTGCATCCCCACAGAGACAAGCATTGGGTTCCTGGGTACCTATTCAGCATTTGCATCCCCACAAGGAGTCAACAAGCATGGTGTTCTAGGGGCACCTGCTAGGACCTTGCATCCCCACAAGGAGTCAACAAGCATGGTGTTCTAGGGCACCTGCTAGGACCTTGCATCCCCACAAGGAGTCAACAAGCATGGTGTTCTAGGGGCACCTGCTAGGTCCTTGCATCCCCACAAGGAGTCAACAAGCATGGTGTTCTAGGGGCACCTGCTAGGTCCTTTCATCCCCACAAGGAGTCAACAAGCATGGTGTTCTAGGGGCACCTGCTAGGTCCTTTCATCCCCACAAGGAGTCAACAAGCATGGTGTTCTAGGGGCACCTGCTAGGACCTTGCATCCCCACAAGGAGTCAACAAGCATGGTGTTCTAGGGGCACCTGCTAGGACCTTGCATCCCCACAAGGAGTCAACAAGCATGGTGTTCTAGGGGCACCTGCTAGGACCTTGCATCCCCACAAGGAATCAACAAGCAGGGTGTTCTGGGGACCTACTCGGACCTGGGATTCTGGGGGCCTAGACATCCTGTTGGAAAAATTAAGTACACAGAGTAGTATGGGTTCTACATCATTTAATATCTAAACATGCCGATACACAAATAGAAACACCACTAACAATAACTGTCTCCACTAGACAGTACAGAGGGAATACACACTGGGACATCGAGGTTAATCACATTGACAATAGAAGATTCATGGAGTTAATAATAAGAAGATGTTATTTTATAGGTTTCTCATTGGACAAGCATAGATTGCAAGGAACTAGTTCTAACACGAAATCTCCATGAATAAGCAAAGATTGCAAGTAACTAGTTCTGACAAGGAATGTCCACGAATAGTCCTTTTGGGTGTTCTTATTTCAAGTTCATGAGCAAGACAAATTCTGTTCTGTCTGTGATAAGAGGATGGAGATAGTGACAGCACTTCCTAGATGAGTGAGTGAGTGAGTGAGTGAGTGAGTGAGTTGGGTTTAACGCCGCTTTTAACAGTATTCCAGTTATATCGCGGCATGTCAGCTTAATGTGGGAGGAAAGCCCGAAGTGATGCAGGTCTTAAGACATTTACCACTTTGGTGAAACACGGGTATGGTGCTGACTAACCTAGAAACATAATCCGGACGAACCAGCATTTGAACCCACAATTATAGATTTATCGCATGCCCAAGGGATGCAACTCTGTACAGCGAGTCATGGCGCCTTAGACAACCGTGCCCCGACTTCCTTAATGTAGCTTTGGATAATAGAATAGACACAATATACACTAGATAATCGAGGATGATCAACTCATCAACAAGACTAAAATAGGATACCACCATTGTGTCTATTCCTGAAGTTCTATTTAATTAAAACATTATCATTCCAAGTATTTGTTTTCATAACTAAACATCACTTGATAATTTTCTATGATGTGTTCAGTAAACCAGTGAGACATTGGTTGTATACTCCCCGGGGAGATGAGAATGAAAATCAAATGCAAACATGCTTGCAGTGAACCTTGAAATGTGTATCAGTACAATGTCCTAAAAGAGAGTGAGAGTTCCACTTTACTCTGTATTTCAGCTACATGACATTGTAATATTCAGGAAAAGCCAAAAGTGATGGATGCCCTGCACAATTACCTCCCTTGTGAAACACATGGGCCTGGGTATATGCCGACAAACAAAAAAATCAGAATCTTGACAAATTTTGAACCCACAATCTCAAAAGGGATGCAAGGGAGCATCCCGATATTAAATTCATGTGGATGTCATCCCAAAGTCATTAAAGGCCATTATCATCATAAACTGTGGCATATGCACTCAAAATATCTCTACACAGTTGATGTACTGGAGGCCATGTATCCCCTCACACTAATATTTGTTTGTTGTTCTACGCCGCACTCAGCAATATTTCAGCTAAAAACAGCGGTCTGTAAATAATCAAGACTTGACCAGACAATCCAGTGATTGACATCATGATCATCGATCCACCCAATTGGAATATGATGACATGCATCACCTAAGTCAGCGAGCCTGACCCCCCGACGTCGTTAGTCGCCTCATCTGAACAGCATTGGATGCTGAAAACCGAGTCTAACGCGGATCTTCACAGGGAATACAGTAATAAAGAATTTGAATCTATTCCCAGAATTCTATTCTTCAAATTCCAACATGACTCAAGCCAAGGGTTCTAATTATTTCAGTGATGATCGGCTACAAGACAACATACATTGTATCCATCATCATGACTTGTTCTTACAGTATTGCTAATCACCTTGTCAGCTAGGAGGAGACACTGTGTTAGTTATTTCAGCCTTATCATGCTTATAAAGCAACAATACACAAAAGCACAGACACATACGAAGTTTTACATTGTCTGTACATGGTGGATCATAAGTAAACATGTCAAGGGGATTCAGTGTGGCAATTTTCGGAACAAGGTTGAAGGTACCCTGACAACATTGGATACAGAGGCTCAAGCCAAAGATAGTCTATGTTCCAGTTATAATCAGGTATCTTGGTATCACTAATAAAAGAAAATAAGTTATATAGAAAACAATCAAGAGAGTTTTCTGAACAAGGTCACAACATCAGTACATTCATCTGAGAACTGCTGAAACATCTGAGACTGAGTTGATGAATTTATCTAAGAACTTAGTCAGATGAGAATCCTCCACGACTTGTGTACATCTGAGAACTGTATCTTGATGGGAACCATCCATGACTTATGTTCATCTTTAAATGGTAAGTTGATGAGAATCATCAATGGCTTACGTTCATATGAGAACTGTAAGTTGATGAAAATCATCCATGACTTAAGTTCATCTGAGAACTGTAAGTTGATGAGTGAGTCAGTATGGTTTTACCTCGCTTTTAGCAATATTCCAGCAATATCACAGCGGGGGACACCAGAAATGGGCTTCACACATTGTACCCATGTTGGGAATCGAACCTGGGTCTTCGGCGTGATGAGCCAACGCTTTAACCACTAGGCTACCCGACCGCCCCTGTAAGTTGATGAAAATCATCCATGACTTACGTTCATGTGAGAACTGTAAGTTGATGGGAATCATCCACGACTTACGTTCATCTTAGAATGGCAAGTTGATGAAAATCATCCACGACTTACGTTCGATCTGACAATGGTATGTTGATGAGAATCATCCATGACTTACGTTCATCTGACAATGGTATGTTGATGAGAATCATCCACGACTAACGTTCGATCTGACAATGGTATGTTGATGAGAATCATCCATGACTTACGTTCATCTGACAATGGTATGTTGATGAGAATCATCCATGGCTTACGTTCCTCTGACAATGCTTAGCTGATGAGAATCATCCATGACTTACGTTCATCTGACAATGGTTAGCTGATGAGAATCATCTATGACATGCATTCATCTCAGAATGGTCAGTTGAGAATCATCAATGACTTACGTTCATGTGAAAACTGTATGTTGGATGAGTCTCATTGATGATATATGTTACATAACATCAAGACATTTTTCTTTTATCATCACAATTATAATAGAATTATCATAGAAAGAGAACTGTTGATGGGAGAATCCCACAAGTTAGTTCATCTGAGAACTCACAGTCAAATGAGAATGGACCATGACTTACGTTCATCAGAGAACTGTTGATGGGACAATCCCACAAGTAAGTTCATCTGAGAACTGACAGACGAGGATGATCCATGATGCTGTTATTATTGATGAGATGCTTATCTAATCATGTTAATGAAACAGTTAATTGTATGCAGACATGGAAATGATTGAAAGACAACGATATTACATGCTATTACTAAAATACGCTATTTGAAGGGGGCGTGGCCTAAATGCAAATGTCCGATTGGGATTTTAAATTTTCCGGACCCCTGCATGCTCCACATAACGCACCTGGCATCAAAGAATATCTCTGCTAAAATACAGGCTCTCTCTCTCTCTCTCTCTTACATATGATAAGAGCCCATCTTACAGTTGCTGACATAGGCTTTAAGCCACACATACTGCTAACATATAAGTAAACAACTAATGGTAACCATGGTAACAATTGTAAATGGTAAAAATACACTGAAACAGTTTCTAGTGTGATTTGATATTACAAGTTATACAACACATTAAATCTTACCTAACTGGGCTACAACAAAATCATTTTCAAAAAAAAATCATACTAATCAAGTTTTGTTTGGCTCTTAACAAGGCCCAATGCAAAGTGCAAAGGAAGCTTAGGGAATGATTATGATAACTTGCACCAAGTCATGGTAAAGTCAGAGGAACATTGCAAAACAAATTGGTCAAACGTACAGTGTACAAATAAATTTGATTTTCTGTTAAGTCATCCATTCTAGGTTCAGCTGACCTCTAAAATTTATCTAACACGACCCTATCATACTATTGAAAAGAGTGTGTGAGTTGGGTTTAACCCCGCTTTTAACAGTATCACTGCATGTCAGCGTAAGGTGGGAGGAAAGCCCAAAGTGATGCAGGTCTCAAGACGTTTACCACTTCGGTGAAACTCACGAGCACGGGTATGTTGCTGACAAACCTAGACACATAATCAGGGCGAACCGTGATTCCAACCCACAATCATAGGTTTCTGACGTGCCTAAGGGACGCAACTCTGCACAGCGAATCGCGGCGCCTTAGATGACTGGGCCACCCGTGCCACCCTATTAAAAAAAAATTGAACACCAGACTTTTTCATATTACTTTCGTTACTGTGTCATGGCATGGACAGATTAACTTAAGCAATATGAAAACATCAGGGAAGTCATTCTTTTCAGTAGTATGACACTTGTATAATATGACCCTACTGTGCATATCGGTGGGGCATTTATGTGTGGAAGATGCTCAGAGATGTGTTTGTTAAAAGTGGGCTCCTTGCATGGTGGGACCAGTAGTTAGCCTCAGCTTCACACCTGCAGCCACGTGCATGACACATGTGACAGCGCCACCCCCACACGATGACTGCTCACCAGTTCACAATGCTGGTATATGTATTGATTCAATGATCAATATACACACATGTATCACAAAGCAGGTCTCACCATCTTATGCACCAACCAGAAGTAGAATACCCTCAAATCTCGTTAAAATCAGATCTTTTAATCAGATACAATACCTCCTTCTGACATGACCCGTATTGGGATGTCCTCAGATCTTTGTTTTAAGCGGCAGCAAGAACTAAGATCAGATTTTAATGAGATTGCATCAAAATATTTTATTATGTTACTCAAAATACCAATTTCCAAATCAAGGTGGACAAGAAATAAAATTTTTAACAACTGACACCCGATTGGCTCCAGAAACCATGCATGCTTCACTTAGATTGGGTGGTCAAAGTTCACACAGAGTTTGCCTCGGTAGGATTGTAAGAAAGTAAAAGGTCTGATTTTACTGAGACTGAATTCCGTCTAGACTATGTCTTTGGTCAGTTGGTTCTCACACTCTTCTCATACCTTCCCATTCAGAAGTCCTGTGGAATATATGGACAATTATTCCATTCAACAAAAGCAGGAAATACTTCACATTTGATTACATAATATCCGCGTTCACATGTACACCTTGTGTTATCATCATAGTAAAGAAGATATAAATATATATATATATATATATATAATGGTAAGTGACAAAACGTCCTTACTGATCTATCAACAGTCACAAAAACGTGTTTCTTCATCAATACCCATGTTACAGATAACATAATAACACAGATAAGTGGTTAACTGTGCCACTCGTTAGCCTAATCTATCAATAAACGCCCTCAATCATGGTCAAAAACACACAGAATTTTGTCAGTGCACAACTGTTGATTAGACAACAAATTCTTGAAACAATGCAGCTTTAGAAATTTGCACTAGTCCTGTAGTCGTTGCCAAACCGCCCAATAGTTTGTATCATAAGGACTAGTAGAAATTGCCATTTTTAAGGGTTTTGCTACATATAATCATCATAAGGATTAGTTTCTATGGCTGCAATGTATCCAGTGTTTATAACAAGAAGTTAAGTAAAGGGGTCCTTGTCATAAAATTGGCAAAACATGGCCCCCAGATTCACTTTCATTTCAATCTCATTAAAATCAGATCTTAGTTCTCGCTACCGCTAAACAAAGATCTGGGGACATCCCATTAGGTGTCACGTCAAAACAACCTTTCATCCAACCAATCAGACTGTTGCTTACCAGATCATGAAAGTGACATTTGGAATGTAATTTCTAATCATGCACCCTCGAAAACTTTAACACAGGGTATTCCAAACGATAGTTGCGGGCTTAATGACTGACTCCATACAATCCATACCATCTTTCAGCCATTCCAGAATGCTCATTTGTTCAGGTTTCAAATTTGTAATCGAGAATTTGTCAACATATGTTTCAAAGTGTAGTCGCCAATTTGAAATTAGTGCCCTAAAGCACGAGAAAGCTGCTTTTTGATTGGCTAATGTCGACTTCTTGTCAGTCATTCCATTGGTCAGTCAAAGGTCTAACGTGACCTATAATGGGATGTCCTCAGATCTTTGTTTAGCAGTAGCGAGAACTAAGATCTGATTTTAATGAGATTGCTTTCATTTTCTCACTATTCTCCTTAAATGATTTCATTTATACAATACAATCCAAATAGGCATTTACTAATAATGCAAGCTCTCAGTCCCTTTAATCAAGAGCCCGAAGCTAAAGCTCCCAGCCCACAAAGCATTTGGGGTGACACCACAATTGCCTGGTAACGTGGTAACTAATCAAGTGGGGACCAGACAGGCTATTTGTTGCTGGTACGAGTAACATACCATTTGGTTATTCAGGTCACATGTTACTACCCGATCCTTATTAGTTAACTCTTTAACATTGATGGCATATAAAGGATAGCTTTTCTGTCTCGGAATCTGCATGGGAGCTCTGTCTAGGGTTTGTGAACTCAAGTAGTTTTTGTATCGCGAATGTCATTGGAATAATATTTAGGAACTGTTTCGCAATATGTAACCATGGTAACAGATTCCTCCCATCTTTACACTTTCAGCTTGCATGCCTCGTCCTCCACTGTTTCAGACTCAGGAACACTTTCATCCTGATCCCCATCTGCGAGTGAGTTCTCGGCCAACATCTCATTAGCGCTTGAGGATGTGGACTCTCCACGGTCACACTCGGGGCGAGTCTTCTGGTGTTCCCGAAGCTGCTCCACGGTCTCGAACGTTTTCCTGCACTCCAGACAAACGTGAACTCGATTCATAATGTGATCCTTAAAGTGTACACTCAGGTCGTCCACAGTCTTGAAACTTCTCTGGCACACATCACATCGGGTGTTCTGCTTGTCGGAATGCATACAAGCAATATGGGACATGAGCTGGGTGGACATGGAGAATGCTTTGTCACAGTGGCCACAAACAAATGGCCTCTCAGCCTCGTGTAGAAGCATGTGCTGGTCAAGCCTCTTCTGCCTTGTGTAAACTCTCGCACAGATTCGACACTTCAAGGGTTTGGGTTCATGAGTCTTCTCGTGACGCTTCAGATCGAGCGGTCTGAAAAACCTTTTCGGGCATTCGTTACACTGATACTGCCGCGTGCTGTGTATCCTCATATGTGCCTTCAGGGAATATTTATCATAAAAAAGTTTCTCGCACACCTGACATGGAACAGTCCTTTCCCTCACCATATGAATTTTAACATGCATTTTAAGATCTCTTAAACTAAAGTACCTTTTATCACACATATCACACGGGAAGTTACGTTCCCCTGTGTGGACAGCAATATGCCTCTGAAGCTCCCCTGCCGACATAAATGTTTTGTCGCAATGACTACACAAGAATCTCTTCTCTCCAAGATGGCATCGTTTTACATGTTTTTGAAGATTTCCCAACAGTAGGAAGGATCGGTCACATATGTCACACTCATACGTTTTCTCTTTTGTATGAATGTTGACGTGACGTCGGAGTTCGCTTGATGTTCCGAAGTTTTTGTTGCAGTGTGGGCAGGTGTGGTTCCTCTCACCTGTGTGTCTCCGCACGTGGGTGTTTAAATTAGATGTCTTGTTGAATGTCATGCCACAAATGGTACACGAATACGGTTTTTCTCCCGTGTGAATCATTTCATGCTTCTTCAGGTGTGACATCTGGGTAAAAGACTTGCCACAAACCTCACAGGCATGTTTCTTCACAGGATTATGGGTTGAAAGATGTTTTCGTAGATAGTGGCGAGATTTGAACGTCTTGTGACATAAATTACAAGCATGTAATTGCCCGTCGGTGTGGATATCCATATGTGCTTTTAAATTGTAAGCCTTTTTGAAGGCTTTACTACACACAGAACAAATATAGGGCCTATGGTCATCAGATTTGGCTGACGATGCATTTTCAGCAGGTTCTGTAGAAGGTCCACTCTGCTCAACACTCGCATCCTCAGGAGCTGTGTCATCAGCATCCTCATCGTCGTCATCGTCATCGTCGGAGAATTCTGTGTTGCAGCCAATCTCGGATAAATCGGCAGATTTTCCACTCTTTTCATCTGGCTCAGGCTTTGGTGAATCTTGATCCACTGGATCTGGGCTATTGACTAGTTCTGTCTTGATAGGGATACCACACTCACTGGATGCCATTTTGTGTAAAATAATGTCCCTGATTTACAAAATATGAAATGCCTGTCTTCAGTTAAGTGTAATTGTAGTCAGTCGTAACTGACAATCAATTGTCCCATGGAGACACTGTCTGTATTGTGTTCACTTGCAACTGATCTGTAGGACTGTACATCGTGGTCCAACTCTCTGACCTTCTTCAGATGGCTGACCTACAAACAAATATTAACCATAAAAATAACTATGCCGATCACATATATTCCAGGCATTTTAATCAACTGCATTCATTCTTGGTGTATAGCATATATGACAGATGTTTTATTGGAATGGTAAGAAAAAATGTTGCTTAACATTGCAATCTCATGAAGCCGAGATCTTTTACTCTGAAACGATACATCTCTGCATCAAAGTCTGACAACATTGCCAAAGGTCTGTCGTTGACCTTTCTGATCAGTCTGTCAGTCAGATCAGTGAGTGTGAGTGAGTGAGTATGGTTTTACGTAGCTTTTAGCAATATTCCAGCAATATCACGGCGGGGGACACCAGAAATGGGCTTCACACATTGTACCCATGTTGGGAATTGAACCTGGGTCTTCGGCATGAGGAGCGAACGCTTAAACCACTAGGCCACCCGACCGCACCGATCAGTCAATCAGAGGCAAGGCTTCTAAATTCTTTGACAGAGAGAGCGATGCATTCTGATTTCTGTATTTATCACAGAGGAAATCTGAATGTAAACATAAACTGACGGGCAAAAGAAACTATACCAAAGTATGTTTTATTTAAAAAATATCACATCAGCACTGAACTGGAGTTTTCATTGTCAAACAAAATCGCATGAAGGCAGCTTAAGTTTAAAAAATCCTGCTTCTTCCTGAATATGGACTTTATCGACCTTTTTTCATTCAAAATTGGATGCACGTGCATCACGACAAAATGGCTCGGAACGGTATAAAATCCTCCAATCTGTATGTTTTACACCACAATCGTACCGACCACAACAGCTGACATGCCGAGACTGACCGCACAAGAGCGAGAGAGAGCAATTGGGATGTTGCAGTTGGGAGCACGCCATGCCCGTGTTGCTCGCATCTTCAACTGCACCAGAACAACGATAACGAGGCTGCAGACACAACTCACACAAACATGTCGTACAGATGACAGGCCAAGAAGTGGAAGACCCAGGATCACAACCGCCAATTAATATCGGTACCTCCGCATCTTACATCTTTGCAATCGTTTCGTCACTGTGATGTCATCGGCAGCCACAGCCTTACATCATGTGATCAGCAGAAGGACAGTTGCCAGGCGTCTTCGACAACACAGTATTTGGGCCTACCGGCCCTTTCGTGGGGTGACCTTGAGCCGGCGTGACCGACGTAACCGCCACCATTGGGCAAGAATGGTACAGCGGTGGCAAAACAGGAACTGGCAACGAATTCTATTCTCTGATGAGAGCAGGTTCCATTTGAATCGAGCTGATGGCCGTGTGCGTGTGTATCGTCGGAGAGGAGAGAGAACAGCCCAATGTTGTGTCCAGGAGACCGTGCCATTCGGTGGTGGAAGTGTCATGGTCTGGGGTGGGATTTTCAGGGACCATACAACAGACCTGGTTGTCTTTGACCGTAATTTAAATGCTCAAGTCTACATCGACCATGTATTGTGTCCTGTGGTGCTTCCCTTCCTCCAGAGGAATCCCAGAGTAATCTTCCAACAGGACAACGCTCGCCCCCACACCGCCAGGATCACCAGAGACTTCCTAACTGCAAATAATGTAAACCTTTTGCAATGGCCAGTAAGATCGCCTGACTTGACACCCATTGAGCACTTGTGGGACTATCTGGACAGACAAATAAGGGAAAGAAATCCCCCTCCGTCAAGTCGTCAAACGTTGATTCAGGCACTGTTGGAAGAATGGTGAGCCATCCCCAATGACGTCATCAGGGATCTTGTAAACTCCGTGCAGCGGTGTGTCCAAGCCTGTATTCAGAGCAATGGAGGCCATACAAGATACTGACAGTAATGCATTTGTGAAAAAAATGCGTTTTCTGTTTTCGTTCAGATGATTTGTTTATTTTGCAAATTGACATTTACCCCGTCTCATTCCTTACCTGATATTGAAGTTCCTGTAAATGCCACCTTTCCAACTCGCAACACTATATTTTTGTGATATATTTGATAATGTTGTCAACACCAAATCAATGTTAGTATAGTTTCTTTTGCCCGTCAGTTTATTATGCAGTTCTACTATATATTGTTGTGGATATTTTATACACCCTGTCGTTTCAGAGTCCCAAGGCATCTACAGACAAAGGGTTGCCATGGGGGGTATATTTGCATTCTGTAATGGTTTTCTTGTGCAATCAAAATTTGCCCTCGGTTCACCTGACACGACATTCTATGGAGATGTCCTCAGGACTTGACACAGACAGGCACTGTATCCGCGACTAAAATCTGATTTAATGAGACAACTGAACATGTTTTTTATATAAATATTCCAGCAATGTCACAGCAGATGACACCAGAAAAAGGCTTCTCACACTGTACCCTGTGGGGAAATCAAACCTGGGTCTTCAGTTTGACCAGCGAACTCCTTAACCACTAGGCCACCCCACCACCCTGAATATGGCGAATGAATAAAATTTGGGTTTTTCCCATTCTCTCTCCTATGCCGACATGGTATTTCAGAACTAGGTACGTAAACATGGTAAAATGATGGGGTTTCATTTTGCATATGATTTATCATTCTTACGGTTAACTTTCTGCCAAAATGACACAGATCTACTATCATGACTATAGAATAATCTGATTTAGTGATCACAAACAGTGAAGTATGAAGTAAGTGAACACTGAATACTTGTTGTTTTATGACTAGTTGGCAACATTCAAGCTTCATCACGGTCAGTTAAAAAATCAGCCTTGGCTACGCCAGTGGAGTTGCGAAAAATTATAAAAATTATTATTGAGCCTAAATCTAATTCAAATTGTACAAATAATAAGAATACAGCACAGACTTCCCAGAATGACCTGGTTACCCTGATTACATTCAGAAACTGTGCGTGCAGTATTAATGTTTTGATAACGTTGACGTAGGGTAGATCTATATCACTTTAACCTCATCTCACTGCTGAGCTAGATCTGCATACATTTACTTATGAAAATCACACTGAAATAGCATGATCATAACAGAAGAATAGCACAACTCTCCAGTTGTGTAGGTAGACTGATCCACGGGAATTTGTAAATGTAAACAAGTAAACATATTTTTTTTATTAACCCATTTATCCTATGTAGCCATTAGTCAATAAAAATATATTGTTTATATTTGTGTACTGCTACATATTCCTGTGACTGAACCTGCATAATAATTAGCCTAACTTGTCTTAATGAGAACATTACAAGGACAAATCTTATTTTTGGATGCACAAAGATAACACGTTGTTCAAAGTCCCCTTTTTGTGAAATTACACTTTTTCATGAAACGAACTCTATCCCCCCATAATCTCTGTCGACACCACCGGGTCACATTCAACGTCACATTAGGCTGGACCTCCAGACAAGTGAAGCATAACCATATTTCATTCGTCCTGCATTGTCACGTTCGAGAAACACACACTCGCTTCTTGGCCTCTAAACACATTGATATTGTAGTACCTTTTCATATACACACCGTTATCTTGTATGAATCATAACAGTAGAAAAAAAGGTGTCTTTCTTCAAAATACCACAATCACACACACACAGCTACCGAGAGCAACTTCCGCTGTAATATCATTCGGCATCTTTCGTCAATTTCCGTAAATAACAAGACAGGACGAATTGTCACGAATGTCAATGGATACGCTCACGCCAAAAGATTCCGGATGGTATCATTATTAAACCTGATCTAAGCTGAATACGCAGAGCTCAAAACTAAGCGCTTTATCAGCTATGTGCTTTAATATTAAATTTCAAATATTTTCTACGCGCAGGTTTAATAAACTCCGAACATCACATGCAACAATTTACGATGTAAGGAGAATACTGTAAAACAGGGCGCACCTGATTTCAACTGAATCAACGAAACGGTTCACATGATACGTGTTGTTTTAATCAAATCTATTGCAATCATTCCATAAATAAATTATTTATAATTTGTAAATGAATATACATGATCTTTATATAGTATATGTATAACTGAAAATAAACAAAAAATAAAACAGAAAATATAAATCATTACACACTAAATTTAAAACATTATTTTTTAATTCATTGTACTCGTTGCAATTGATATATTTGTTATAAAGTAATGGAAATTATTTGGAATTGCATTTGGCTTTTTAATATAGTTGAATGCTTTTGTGCATAGTGAAACGTTTTTATAGACGCACCATGTGATACACTATTCAACGGTCTTTGTACATAATGGAGCTAAACATAACGGCATATTTCTTTTAAAACTATATTTTCCCAGAAACATTAAGGCCCTGCTCCTATTCGCTTTGTTTAAAAATACTATTCGAGTTGCGTTATCTTTAATATTCTTGTGGGGGCACGGGTAGCCTAGTCGTCTAAGGCGCCGAGATTCGCTGTGCAGAGTTGCGTCCCTTGGGCACACCAGAAACCTATGATTGGTTCGAATCCCGGTTTGCCCCGATTATGTTTCTAGGTTTGTCAGCACCATACGCGTGCTCATGGGTTTCACCGAGCTGGTAAACGTCTAAGACCCGCATCACTTCAGGCTGTTCTCCCACATTAAGCTGACACGCCGCGATATAACTGGAATACTGTTAAGAGCGGCGTTAAAACCAACTCACTCACTCACTCACTCACTGTTATCTCCAATTAAAACATTTCACAAATAACTGTCAAATTTAGAAATAAATAAAACGTCTACGGTGTCGATCTTCTGGCCAATTTAACACCAACAATGAACTTTAAGTCGAAAGAAAAAGAGAGGATAAGAAATAAAATAATATTACGATTGATCTGCCTTTGAGTTTAAATGGATGCTTTTGGCCGTGTATGCTGCAAATGTGTGTGCAAATTGTGGGTTCGAATCCCGGTTCGCCCCGATTATGTTTCTTGGTTTGTCAGCACCATGCCCGTGCTCGTGGTAAACGTCTGAGACCTGCATCACCTCGGGCTTTCCTCCCACATTAAGCTGACATGTCGTGATTTAACTGGAGTACTGTTAAAAGCGGCGTTAAACCCAACTCACTCACTCACTAATATTCTTGTATGCATCCCGATTATGTGAATGTGCATGAAGTATGAATGAAGCGAGTGAGTGAATGTTGTTTTTTGCCCCGGTCAGCCAAATTCCAGCTGTTTTGTTTGTTTGTTTGTGTGTTTGTTTGTTTGTTTGTTGTTTAACATCGCACTCAGCCACGGACAAAAATATAGGTCCGCGTGACTCAGCATACTATGATGGCGATCTGTAAATAATCGAGCCTGGACCAGACAATCCAGTGATTGACATCGTGACCATCGATCAACGCAATTGCAATGAATGCAACGATAACATGCATCAACCAAGTCAGCGAGCCTGACCACCCGATGCAGCTATCTATTACAGTAAGTGAGTATGGTTTTACGCCGCTTTTAGCAATATTCCAGCAATATCAGGGCGGGGGACACCAGAAACGGGCTTCACACATTGTACCCGTGTCGGGCATCGAACCCTGGTTTTCGACGTGACGAGAGAACGCTTTAACCACCAGGCTACCCGACCGCCCCTCATATGTATTGTGTTGTTACATAATATGGTATATAACATAGTATATATCGCCAAGGTTAGTAATGTTTTCTGATTTAAAGACAGGTCGTCTCCGTTTAACCATTAACGTAATTGATTTTTTGTTTTGTTTTGTTTTACGTCGCACTACCATATACCAGTTATGTGTCGGCGGCCTGTAAATAATCGTGTCTTGAGCAGAAAATTCAGTGATTGCTATTCAGAACAATGATACACGACGTCGGGGTAAGACTGTCACAACCCGAAGTGAAATTCCAAAGCAATGTCGAGTATCATATCCCGTCACGACGTGGGGCGGAGGATATATGAACAGATTCCGTTCGTCCGACCGACCGTCCGTCCGTCCTTCCGCCCGGTTCTCAACGGGGACACATTTTCTCAAAAACTGTTTAAGTCAGAGACTGAAATTTTACACACTGATGTTACTGGTCTTGAACTCAAATGAGTTTTAAAAATCCGTTTTTACAGAGTTATGGCCCTTGGTCCGTGCTTTTCAACTTAGTGCAGACTGCATGAAATGGGGACAAGTGTTCTCAGAAACTACTGAAGTTACATGAATGAAAGTTTGAATGCTCATCTAAGAGATACTTGTCAAATATGAGTTCGAAAATTGGTCCCGTTAATTGTTTTTACAGAGTTACGGCCCTTGATCCATGTTATGTTACTTAGTGCATCGTGTGGGCAATGGGGACACGTTTTCTCAGACTATTTATCTAAGACTAAGATACTTATCAAGACCACGGACGTATATACTAGACTGAATTATTTTTTTTCAAAAGAAGAGGCCTTTTGTGTGTATTAATTTCATACTTAATCAATTTTTCTGATCAAATAAAGCGGCCCATGTGCCTGTCTCTTCTTAAAGCTTTATAGAACTCTTTGTTTTAGTTTACATTCACTACTATATATGAACAAACAAAATTCTAATGTGCCCCATGGCGGGGGATAGTGATAACGCTGTTTTCTTGTTTAGATATAATTTGTACACATTATATTCATATTTAATACATAAACACACACACAGACACACACAAGTAATCTAAATATTAATATTAAATCATGGAAATATGAACATACTTAACGCACAAACCTGGGGGTGGGATGGCCCAGTCGTCTCAGGCGACGCAATTCGTTGTGCAGAGTTGCGACCCTGGGCACGCAAGAAAACCTGTGGGTTCGAATCCCGGTTCGTCACGATTATATTTCTAGGTTTGTCAGCACCATACCCGTGCTCGTGGTTCCACCAAAGAGGTAAACGTCTGGGACTGTGATATAACTGGAATACTGTTACAACTAAGCGGCGGAAAACCCAACTCACTCACTCACTCATTCACTCACTCACCCACACTCCAAGAAACCAACCTGATATACATGTATTTCTAACCAGCTACTAATCTGTTTAAAGAATAACGTTCTTCTTTCCTTTACGATCCGTAAAGTCCCTTCCCCGTTTGCAAAGTGTGTCACTCTTGCAGTCGACACCTCAACCTGATCGCTACAGGACCTACTCCAATTCAAACGAAGCAACCCCACGGGTATGTACCGCCTCCGTGGTGTAGTGGTAGAGGCTCCGACAGGTCCGGGGTTCGATCCCCGGCTGCGCCATACCAAACGACGTGAAAAAGATGGTACTTACCCTGCCTGGCGCTCGGCAGTAAAGGGCTAAAACAAGGGACTGGTCGGTTGGGATTATGTCTACCGTATCTGAGTGGGGTATTCATGTTAAACCGCGGCATGGTATCTCAGTGGGCTAGCACTATACAATCGGCATTTGTCCGGACTAGTACAAGTACACACACACACGTATGCACTTCGATATATATAAGTGCAATTATCTTGTGACGTGACGCTTAACCCCATTTCACCTCGCCTCAACAGCAATATAGATAAGTGCGACAACATTGGTCAGGCTCGCTGACTTGGTTGACGGATGTCATCGATCCCAATTGCGTGGATCGATGCTCATGATATCAATCACTGGATTGTCTGGTCCAGACTCGATTAATTTACTGACCGCCGTCATATAGCTGGAATATTGCTGAGTGCGGCGTTAAACAACACACAAGCAAACAAATCACAAGCATGACATGAATGTGCATCGATCCCGTTGTGTTTTCTCACCTGTTACCCTTGTGTTATGCATGTGGCCGTTTCTACGGTTTCGGGATTCTAACAATGACATTATTAATGTTGGTACCCATGAGTGAGTGAGTATGGTTTTACGCCGCTTTTAGCAATATTCCAGCAATATCACGACGGGGGACACCAGAAATGGGCTTCACACATTGTACCCATGTCGGGAATCGAACCCGGGTGCCGAGCGAATGCTTTAACCACTAGGCTACCTGACCGCCCCCTGGTACCCATGACATCATATTCATATTCACATATCGTTCAAATGACGTCCGTCCTACCTGTGTGTGTACTTCAATATATGCGTATATATAACATGGGTACAAAACAATTGTACCTTTTGACATAAGAGTCACCCTGCGTTATGGTTGTTACGAGGCATTTTATATTAGTTGGTTTACGGAAGTTTTCAAACCTTTAAGTCGGAGGTAAAAAATATTTTAAAAAACAAAACAAAAAAACAAACTTATTTTGGTCTTTTGTGAAAACATGTGTCCGGTAGGTTGTTTAAAAAACCCGCCTCATTTTCAATGTTGTTATTTTCAATGTCACCCATACATCTCTTGTTGAAGCCAGTATTGGATGATAAACAGTGGTTATCCAAAGTTGCCTACACATGTGAAATGCATCAACTTCACTATAAGACACTTGTAGACGCCGATTTCTCTCAGTATTATCACAGAACAAATAAGGATTGTTTTCTTGAATACCTTATCCAAACAATGTTGTTAAAACATTTTAGATGCTAAGGTTCTTTGAATGTTAACCATGATTTATGTAAGCAAGTCCACTCGGACCATGGACTTTAAAAGTCCAGTCTCCACTTTGAAAGTCAGTTAACTCTCTTGCTTCGGGAAGATGGGAGTCTCCTCGCCAGTGTAGAACTGCGTCGCTTAGGCGTGCCAGAGGCAAATGACTTTGAGTTCGAATCCATTCTCGTTTCTTGGTTTGTCAGCATCATACCCGTGCTCGTGGTTTCTCGTTTTAAAGTGTTATAAGTCAATAACTATCATCTCTGCTAAGGCTTTCCTCTTACATCAAGCTGATACGTCGTGATATAACTGTGTTTGCTTGTTTGTTGTTTAACGCCGCACTCAGCAATATTCCAGCTATATGACGGCGGTCTGTAAATAATCGAGTCTGGAACAGACAATACATTGATTGACATCATGAACATCGATCCACGCAATTGGGGAACGATGACATGCATCAACCAAGTCAGCGAGCCCCACCACCCGATCCCGCTAGTCGCCTAGTTGCTGAGGACATAGTTTAGCCAGGATCTTCACGGGTCTGCGATATAACTGAAATACATAACTGAAATACATACAGACCCACTCACTCAGAATGAAAGGTCCATGCAATTGCTGCAAAAAGTCAATCAAGCTTCACGTTAAACCATGACACTATCCTAATACTCCCCAGAAATGAAACATCAACGTTTTGAAACATATTTATTTTGTCAAAATAAAACCCTCTCATCCCCGTATATTAACAATGAGAACGAGCAATATTTTAACAATAACAAAGTGAACAATAGGGAAATATATTCAACTTAAAAAATATACATGATATATAATAAGGCTTCTGATCTAAAATATATCACATCCGCTTTGATAGCAGCTGAGCATTAATGAGCCTGCTTTTTGTTATGTTGTCGTTTGCATAGGGTGTTCGTATATCACAATTCATTCTACGCCGACACTTGCAATTAGCTTTACCAGCATGGGATGACATACAAATATCACGCATCCATAATAAACAACAGGGCAACAGGGAGTCTTCACTTCAAAAATGGATTTGACAAAAATATTACAAACGTTTGCAAAACGTTACCGAATGAACACAGTCACCGAAACACTGAAATACCCTCTTGATTCCAACAACATAGATGGAGCTGTACTGTATTGATTTGCCAGGTTTTCCGGTATTCTATTCGCAACGGTAGTAAATAATAATAATAATAATAATAATAATAATAATAATTTAAGCCACCATCAGACATGGCGTAGACTTAGTTTGCCCGGCAGTGTTGAATTGAGAATCCTTGCTAACGTGTTCAAACAGGGAGGCAGTTTCTCAGTTTTACTACGACCGTTTCTCTGTTCACATGAACTGAGATGTGTCAGCTCATTACGATGTGTTGTCTTTTCTATATGGGAAAAAGGTATTCCGAAAATACCATTTGTGCAGAAATATAGATTGCTTATAAAAGGGCACAGTCAACACGGTATCGGCTATAAATAGATTCAGTCATCTGGATGAGGACTCGTAACTAGGGAATTTGAAACCTGCCCATATGAGAACGGTTACGTATATTTGAGTGTATGGAGGAAATTATTCTTTATCAAAATACGAAAAAAGGTAATAAAAAACATAATTCCAAGCGGAAAACTAATCTTATTACAATACAACTGGTCGGGAATAAAGATCGGCTGCGCCATACCCGTAAAATCCGTAAGTGCATGGCGATATTGCCATTAGCATAACATTCTATTTTCAAATCGTACATCTTTTTAAGAGGTTACTGTATTATTAGTGGTATGCAAGAAGGCTACAAGAGTTAAGCCCTTTTGTAAACAAATGATGGCACATGGCACAAAGGTGAAACAGGAAAACGGTTGTCAACTTAAATATATACACATGTATACATTCAAACTTATTTTATGCTAAACATCCTTACATGCTAGTTTGTGTGGCTTGATATAAAATATACACGCTTTATCTATTAATGCTTCTCGTAGGTCAGAAGTGAATGTCTGGAGCTGAACATTTGGGAATCTTCAGAAGTTCAGTGATTCGTCTGCTATGTAGCATCTCATCAAAAGAGAATGTAGATACAAAAAAGCAATTGTATGATTTGGAAATGATATCATTAGTTGCAATATTCCTTTATCTCTACTTTCCCAAAACACATACATGGAGTTATTTCCCCTTTCTTGTGATTATTTCATGGTGAATCTCATCCAAGGTATGCTGAACCTGCTTCATCTGTTCAGTGACCTTGACCTCCAGAGCCTTGACCCTTTCCGTTAAGCCTTTCACCGCCTCCATCTCTGGATCGTCTTCTATTAGAGCAGGTGTCTGTGTAGATTTGTGAACCTCGATGAACCATTTGACATCACCCGGGCTTTTTCTTTCTGGAACAATGTGGCCCTTCTTCAGTTTTCCACCTCCGAAAAGTTTGGATGCAGCAGGAATGGCCTTCTCTAGATCAACTCCGAGTTGCACTGATTCAATCCTCCATGACAGTGTTTGCCTTTGCAAGATGGCCGAGTAAGACGTGTTCATCATGGCTATGAGTAGATTCAGCAGAACGATAGCAGCAAGGACCATATACACCACAAATATAACCTTGGCATACACTGTATGTCTTCCTGCTAGAACCATATTGGTCTCAAAGGAAGCATCGAACAGATCAGCCATGCCCAACATGAGGTTGAAAGTAAGGAACATGGTGTACAGAGGGTTAGGGTAGCTCTCAATAACTTGCGCGGATGCTTGGAACAGAACGTGTAGCGCAAAGGAAAACCCAAGGAGGACGAAGCAGTAGATGAAGATGAACTTCATAACGTCTCTGATAATCATGTTCTGGATCATCCTCCAGAAGTAGTGGATAGGCCGGAACCCTCTGGTGTATGTTATGGTCATGAACCAGCCAATTAGAAGGGCCGGGGCCAAGATGTAGTCGTGATGTGAATACTTGCTTCTGTAGAGTCCCATCCACACAAATACAAGAACTGAATACATAATTGACATAATGATTGAAGAGTATCTGACTATAAGCGACGTAAGATCATTTGAGCCTCTCTGAAGTCTGTATTTCATTGTGAACTCTCCCTGACATAGCACTTTAATGAATGAGTAGGACATGTATAACAAAAGCAGGGCGGGCTCGATAGGCACAATTGCATAGAAGATCACAGTCGCGGCATCAAGGGAGTCATCATTTGGAGTCTTCCTTCTCTTCTCACCGAGGGCAACAGCAGAAATACTGAAGAGTGTCATGTACAGAATGTGGAGGACGATGATTAGGAAGTAGGTGACTGCAGCGACAGTGCTGTAAACCCTCTCTATCTCCCTCATGGGAGCGATATCAAGGACTCTGGCAGCTCGTTCAGGAGATTCTGTAGACAGGAGCCATTCCAGACAGGATGGTCTGGGCACAACCTTCCCACTGCCGCGCATGCCGGCCAAAGAGTCGTTTGTTCTAGGCGTGATGTGAGTGATGTCGTATCTGGTTTTCTTCTCTAAACTGAAACACATGACATGCTCCATCAGCATTATTCTCTCCACCACCTGCACACAACCGACACGACATGCCAGGGATAAAACGTTCAGGTCACTTTTGTTGTAGATCCCGGTTGTCAGATGATGAACAGCCTGGCGTTTGTAATGAAGATACTGATCTCGGTTGTCATCAGGGAAGCGGTGGCCATTTTTAATACACCACCATCTGACAGCTTGGTGCATGATAACATCAAGCACTTTCAAATACATGTGAACTTTCGTTGGGTTATCAACCATTGCATTTGTAAGACAATGGAGAACAGTGTTTCCTTCTTTGCATTGTAAACTCAGATCAGACTCGAAAAGAATTAGACGATTCAATCCTTCGTCAAATCCTGCCATGACGGCCAGGTGCATCACTGTTTCCTTAATATCATTTGGCTCATTGATATCCACATCTCTCTTCATAGTCTCGTAGATATCCAGCATGGTGTCTAACACTTCAGGTTCGTCTTGACGCACTGATAAATGCATTGGAGTATTTCCCCTTTCATCTTTATCTTTGAGTCGAACAAAACGGAACTCCCAAAGGACGTCAGGAGAGGAAAATTCTGCCGCAGTGTGCAGTGGGTTATTGCCCTTGTTGTCCCTGACATTGAGACTCTCCCATGTGTGGCTCTTGATAACATACTCCAGAATCATCTTAACTGTTTCAGGGCGAATGGATGCGGACGATGCAGCCGTGTGGAGAGCCGTTTCACCCATCAGATTTTTTACACCTGCTTTTGCCTTTAGTTGAATGAGTACTTCGATAGTTTCGTGATGGCCATGTTTACACGCTAGATGTAGTGCCGTGTGACCTCTGGTGTTTTCAGCGTCGATGCTGTACTGTGAATGAAATGTTTTAATCACTTCAAACTCATTTGACATGGCTGCGTGATGATGCAATGAATTTCCTTCTTCATCACATGCTGTTGGGTCAAGATTTAGACCCAGCAACATGTTTATTTTGTCAACAAGACCAAGACTGGCTGCTTGAAGAATGGGAGATTTGACATTCTTGGTGAAAGTTAATTTGTCCTTATTTTCTTCAGATGGCTTCAAAAAGCCCATGTTTTGGAGGACTTGGATGAGGATCTCTAGGATTCGGCTTGTGTCATTTTCAAATGCGAAATGCCACACACCTTCTCCGTTGTGGTTCTTGTGGTTGATGTCGGCTCCATGTTTAATAAGGTGAGCCAGGATCTGCACGTGCCCGTATCTGGCAGAGAGGATAAGTGCTGTGTCGCCACGTTCATCAGTCTCATCAATAGAGGCGCCATTGTTCAGCAGAGTCAGAAGAACATTTGTGTTGCCTTCCCGTGCTGCGTGATGTATAGGGCGCTCTCTGCCTCTGATCACATGATTCACGTCTGCCCCATTTTTCAGCAATACCTTGACGATCTCGTCATGTCCCAGAGCAGAAGCCAACACTATGGGCGCAACAAGTCCGAGCTTTCTTGTCTGGTTGACATTGGCAGAACCTTCCTCTGCTAAAAGTTTTACCGTTCCAGTAAATCCGTATCTAACTGCCCAATATAAAGCTGTAGAACCTTTGTCGTTTTCCAGATTTGGCTTTGCTCCTCTTTGTAATAACACCCTCACTGTGGCCTCATGGCCCCATCTGGCTGCCCAGAGCAAGGCTGTGTCCTTCTTTGCGTTGATATGATTGACTTCCATGCCACAGTCGTGGTAGAACTGGACAAAGTCTGTGTAGCCGTGGAAGGCCGCGAGATGGAGGCACGGGAAGGTCCTTGGTCTTTGCCCTGCTATCTGGACTGGCGTCTCGAGCTTCAGAAGCTTCATCAGGGTGTTCTTGTTGTAGACGGACATTTTCTTGACAACTTGTCTTGCTAATTCTATGTCTTTCATTTCGGTGATCTTGTGGAGAATGGTTTTCTTTCCATGTAGATTTCCCATAAACACTTCGTAATCTTCACCAATCAACCTCGCCGTTAATTTCGGGTCGAAGTTGTTAAGGAAATACTCAACTATTTCCTTCTTGCCATTTTCAAAAGCAAAATGAAGAATATTTTCACGGGTTTTCAGCTTCCGAAGAGCTTCGCTTGTGATTGGTAGGTCTGACGGGAGACGAATGATCTTACTTTTCAGTGTTTCCACAGATCCCTCTTGTACCGCAGCAAACAACTCGTCTCTGAAGTCTGCATGGGCAACAGTGGCTTCTTTGTGTGCATTTAAATTCTCGTGGACAGAGATGTCACTATGAGAGAGCTTCTTTGACTGGTCGGGCTGCTCGTCTATTGTTGGTAGCTCTATAACTTGTGTCTTCACTTTTCTTCTCTCCTGAAATATTAAACTCAGTTTGAGAGAGTGAGTGAGTGAGTGAGTGAGTGAGTAAGTAGAGTTTTACTTTAAGTAGATTTTGCAATATCACATTGTATGACACGCAAGGAACCTTCTTCACAGATTGTGGGCAATCAAACACGAGCGACCGGTTTAGCCACTTGGCACGTTTCACCAAAAAAGATCAATCGCTGAGTACAGACTTGCTTCATTGTATTTGTTTCAGTGCTTAAACATGTAAGATCTGTTAAACTCAAGTTAAGAGAAATGACAGCATACAATAGTTTGTATTAACAGCATATATTTCATTTTTCACCATAATCATAATATTCATGTTAATATTTATGAATACACCGGGGACATTCATGCCATATACGGCTTCAGTCCACACACAGCGTGACGTGTGTGAACAGGGTGTGTAGGTTTGATCTACTTACATCTCTATGGGCCCGGAGAGTGACGAAGTCTCCGTCCTCCGACGCTTCCCCGGGGACAAGAGCCATGGACGAGGACCGCCGCTGCAGCGGCACTTTATTCTGAAACACAAACATAAAGAGATTTTTTAAATTAAAAATGACACATATTATTTAAACAAAATAGCTAATCTGCTGAGGGTAAGGTTGAACTCATTTGTGGACAACCGTCAGACATTTCACCTGCCTTATTTTGTGACAACCCACACGTTCATGCACGTCTATATAAGTGGAACAATCTTGACCTTAAACCCCGTTTCACATCACCCCATCTCAACCCAGTTCACCTACATGTCACTTCACCTCACCCCATTTCACCCCACCTCCCTTATCACACGGGGATACTTCTCCAGGTGAATATAAAAAAACTGATGAAGTTTAGGGAGGGGATACCTCAAGCGTCACCCTCGCGGACATTCTCTCGGTATGCCGGTCTCCGACTTCTGATCGATCGATGACTCTGCCATGGTTGACTAACATATTGGGTCAAGTATGTCATATATTCTGCCACCACGCCCGCTACTCTTCCTTTCCCAGGCCTCTAAACATCCCGACCTGATTCAGTATGTGCAGTCTATGAATACAATTGTATAGGTATTGTGCGTCTATTCAAGCTATTGCTGTCTCCGCACAGCAAACTTAAGCCCAGTTTCTTCATAATCGTACCACAGCAGAAACATGGTGCCCTTAGTTCACGATTCGGGGCCACCTCAGCCAGCGATGTTTCTTCATCGGCTTATCGATTATCCAGTTTATCATATCTTCATTCTGTTATGATAAATAGCCTAAATCCATTCGCCACCACAGCTTTGAATTCGATATGGAAGTGACGTCACCCATCTCCATACTTCGCATAGTATTTCGCTCGCACATGAGAATAATTTGATTGGATAAACGATGATGTTTATTACAAAATGTGTCGATGTGCTTCAGAGAGTTTTTATTCATAGTTCAATCACTGAAAAAACCTTAACTCAGGCACTCAATTTGACAAGAGATTAATTTGACTGGATAAAAGAGGATGCTTATTACAAAATCTGTCGATTATTCCGCAGGGCTCACCCAATGTTTACGCGTTTTTCAAGGTGAACAGTTGACTTTGCATGTGTTTGTAACGGGTGCCACCGGTGGGGCAGGATGCGCTCACCTTTTCGCCTGGTATCATCACTATTTGATGGTGATTCATAAACACATGGGGGCGGTCGGGTAGCCTAGTGGTAAAAGCGTTCGCTCGTCACGCTGAAGACCCGGGTTCGATTCCCGACATGGGTACAATGTATGAAGCCCATTTCTGGTGTCCCCCGCCGTGATATTGCTGGAATATTGCTAAAAGCGGCGTAAAACCATACTCACTCACTCACTTACTCACTCATAAACACATGCTAATGACATAGTCGGAATCGTACAATCTACTCTGCGTTATGCAGAGGTTTATTATGATTATGCATGGAAATGTTGTCTGTCTCTTTTATATTCAGAAAATTATAGAAAACATCTTAAAGGCACACACATTTGACAGCCTTTGGTTTTTTTTGGTATGTGTATATTATGCAACACCGTCATATCTATCGAGTGAATGAATGAGTATTGTTTTACGTCTGTCAGCAATGTTCATGCCGTTTCAGACAAGGGGACATCAGAAATGGGTTTCACATATAATACAACCCGGGGAATCGAACCAGGGTTTTCGACGTGATGAGCGACGCTTAAACCACCTGGCTACATCGCCCTCTCGTAGATCAAGTTTGGAGTTTGGTGAACAGAAATATCAGTCCCAATGGTATTAGTACAAAGATACAGACTCCCTGTAGCCTTAAGGCAATCATTGAATCAATCAACTCGAATGGATCGATTTCTATCTTGAGGACCACATATTTTCTTCAATATTGCATTGTGCCTTAATGATCGATGGATAGAACACATTCTTCCATCAGCGTGGCCAGTCAATAGATTACCGCTAGCTATCGAAAACCACGTGACTATCGACATAGCATATAGTTATACTGCCAAGGCGAACGTAAGAGTGAGCGAGATGTAAGGACGTGTTAAAATACTTGTAAGATGTGTTACATATGTTGACCTATGTTTATGTATCTTTATATATGTTTGTGACATGTGTATAGCAACAGCCATGGTAGAAATGACATGACGACTTCATATACAGAACGCGCTACCAAATCATTTAGGCAAGCAAACCGTGAAGATCCGGGGTAGAATAGGTCTTCAGCAACCCATGCTTGCCGTAAAAGCCGACTATGCTTATCGTAAAGGACGACTAACGGGATCGGGTGGTCAGGCTTGCTGACTTGGTTGATGCATGTCATCAATCCCAATTGCGTGGATCGATGCTCATAATGTCAATCACTGGATTGCAGGGTCCAGACTCGATTATTTGCGGCGTTAAACAACAAACAAACATTTTGACAAGCTAGCATGTGTATGCCTATTGGTGGGCTTCGTTACTTTGTTACGCTCGTTCCTAAAGGTAAACGGTCAGTTTGGTTGCAGGTTTTGTGTAACATGTTTGTGTGTGTGTGTTTAATCCGCACTCGGCAATATTCACGTCACATGACGGCGTTCTGTAAAATCTTGAAATCTGGGCCTAGATTTTCGAAACGATCTTAGCCCTAAGATTATCGTAAGTTTATTTTATCTTCATCCAAGATGGCGGCATATTTTTCCATAGATATTTTGCCAAACAATTAGTCCGCTTTACGTTCAAACATTGACATTTCATTTTGTAAAACTGAGTGATTCAAATTGACACTTCGAAAACACGAAGAACGCATCAAGGATTTCACGTCAAAAATATTCTTAATCGCGACAGCGATACACATAACTGTGGAGTCGATAGCTTACAATATATTTCTATCCGAGTCCATGCTGAAGAAGTGTGAAACAACTAGGGCTGGGACGGGTAACTTGGGTACCCGGGTCGGGTGGGTACTGAGTAGGACCCGGGTACCCACAGGACTACCCGGACTCGTGGTTAATCACGTGATATATTGTTTAATGACAAAAATGATCTAGAACTCTATGGTTACACTACAAGTCACTAATGTTTGCATTTCTTTCTGGCTATGCACCCATTCCTTCTGATTTTTCATATGGTTGAATAAAGATATAACTAATTCAACTTGTGTATGAATGACCAGGCTGTTTAATACGTTTTGCCAGGGCTATTCTTAAAATGTTCCCAATCGGACATTTTTAGACATCTCCTGATACCTACAGTGGGTACCCAGGTAGGGTCGGGTAATAGGGGGGTGGGTACCCGGGTAGTAAATTTGGACTCGTCCCAGCCCTAGAAACAACATACCTTTTCAAAATTTGGGAAGGATCAAAACGAAAGGTGTGACCGTGACCTCATTGATAACTCAGGGGGAGCTAATCTTAGTTCAAACTCTAGTTGAGAGTGGTTTCCCTTTGTATTCGCCCGGGACACCTTGCTCAATGTTACAGTTTTCATAAAGCGCAGAGTTCCGCTGTTATATTTTCTGGATCGCATTTGTGTCAATGCTTTAGTATTTATTTTCGCATTTTATTGACTTAACAAGGAAATACATGTGATCAAATATCTGTATACAATATCTTATATTTTTCTTGCAATAGTAATTGTAATATATTTCGTTTTAAATTCAATGCCTATGTTATCTATATCCTCTTGAAAGACAAATATTTGATAAAAAGTGATTAAAAACTGTCTGTTGAACAAATGCATTCTTTAAAAACAGGTGATTAACGGCATATAGGTGTTTTCCATTATAAATATAACAATTTACTGAAATTGTGACAGCAAAAATTAAGCACAGATTTTCACATTGTCCAAAATTCACTTTCCAATATGTGTTCGCAGAAAAAAAGTTTATTGAATTAAATTTACTGATCAATATGAAATACACATTTTCAACACAATAATCTTTGCATTCAATAAACCGGTTTTAAAATATTTTGGTCTTTTTAATATTTAAGTCTACATCTCCCCGTTTTGTGAAAATATAGATATACTTGAGACCATTCAGACAATAAAATCGTTGTATCGTATAGGGTCAACGGACAAATACTAGTAAATGATCCTCAGCAATTCTGTCAGACAAACCAAACATCATTGAACTACGTTCTGGAATAGATTTGACACATTACAAAGTATTTCGCTCCTCAGCCAGATTTAAATGAAATCAGACAAATCAGTTTATTGGCTCTACTTAATTTAAAAGGATAGAAAATGACTACATTATATGTATGTTCACGTTAACTTGCGGCGTGTTCCATGAGACAACATAACTTGACAATTCCTAAATTATCTATCTGTATATCTACAATTCTCTCTTTGCGAACGAAAATTAGTGTCACTTTTAAATTTTGAAAATAATTATGGATCTAGACACTACACTTATTGATTATAACATTTACTGGTTTTGAAAGATGCTATTGCATGGCACACGAATGCTATTTGTGTTCGGGTAATCATGGCATCATTTATCATAAGAACAAAACGTCTACATGTAGGATTGTACAGAATTTCACTCAAATATGTGCATGTTAAACAATGTGACCTGACAATGTGATCATGAATTCCGTGTCACTTATCTATGTTTTTGTTATTGGCAGCAGCTGGGAAATCCCCGTGACGTCACTGGGAAACACCCCGCTTTTTCAATCTCTAACACAAATGAGTTCTCTGTCAGAGTTACGATAGGTATCGTAACTCTGAACGATCTGCGACAGGTTTACGATAGTTTCGAAAATCTATCTTATCTTAGTCTTAAGATATCTTATCTTTGAACGTAAGTTGTTAAGATTTATCTTAGCTAAGATCGTTTCGAAAATCTAGGCCGACCAGGCAGGCCAGTGATCAATATTATGAACAACGATCCACGTCGTCGGGGTAAGATGAGACACAATCAACCATGTCACCGAGCCAGGCCAGCGAAACCATTCACTCACCTCTTACGACCAGCCTAGATTTTTGGGGATCAATCCGAACCTGAAATCCCCAAACGTTTTTCTTCTAGCTTTTTTTTTTAAAACACAGGATACCCTAATGTAAACTTGAATAAATGGTTTGTTTTACGAGATACATTCAATCAACTGTTGCGCACAGAAAGAGAATTCCGTTGTGACGCGTTAAGGTCACGTGTTACCTTAGGTCTTCCCGCCTTTTTGAATAACTTCATGACTGTCTCTAATAATCCAACCTGCGTTTGTACTGGAAAGGCAACTTAATGCTCATCCAACTGGGATACAGTATATGGTATGTGTATAAGGAAACGAGAGTGTTGCTCATATTGATGCCAACATACATAATTTGGTCTTATGGATAAGGAGTGTGGTAACCGAGAGGTTAAAGCGTTCGTCGTCACACTGAAGACCCGGGTTCGATTCTCCACATCAGGAGAACTTGAAGACCATACTTGGTGACCCACTGTCGTAATATGACTGGAACATTGCTAAAAGAGCCGTAAAAAATTCACGCGCTAACTAGTACAGGGCAAACAATACCTAAACACGACAACAGTGCCCTTTGTCACTGCTCCGTGGTCTAGTGGTAGAGCGTCCGCCCGGAGTGCGGAAGGTCCGGGGTTCGATCCCCAGCCGCGTTATACCAAAAGACGTTAAAAGATGGTACTTGTTGTTACACTGTCTGGCGCTCGGCATTAAGGGGCTAAAACAAGGACTGGTCGGCTCGGAGTCAGTATACTGTGTCTGAGTCGGGT